CCCGCCTCCACCTGGACACCCGCTCCTCTGTGGTCCTCTGCCACCCCTGCCTGCCCCTTCCTCATTCCTCTGCCTCCCGCAGTCTGGGCCCCTCCCCCACCCTCATGACCCCGCCCCCCCTTAGGATTGGGGATTCCTCACCCGCCTCTGCAGCTCCCTCGGTGGGGCTCTCTACCTTCTCTCCCCACCCCAACCCGAGACATCCCTGCACCCGAAGAAGACCCCCAGGCTACCTGCAAGGGAGCAGCAGAGGGCGAGGGCTCTCCTGCACCCTGACTCCTGCCTCTGTCAGGCACCTGTCTGGCGTGGGGTCCCCACTCCTCTCTCCAGGGTGGATGCCTGGTCTAGTGGTTCCACGTTCGAATCCTCCCAGGGCGCCCCAGGCCCCAGCACCCAGCTTCTTTGAGGTGGTCACGTGGGACGTAGTGATGGGGAGATGGCCGCCAGGGCAACCAGCCAAAATGTGCTCACAGGCTTAAGGGGACAGACAGGGCAAGTGCTGGGTCAACGGGAAGGCCCTGGATGGTGGGAGGCGGAAGGGGCAGGGTCGCCTGGGGATGCTAATCCTGGCATCCCCTGGAGTGGCAGGCACACCTGGATCAGGGCCCAGGGGGCTGCCCCTCAGGCAGGGCTCCGCTGGCCCAACTGCAGGTCACGAAGTTGACAGGCAGGCCCTTGCCGGGGCTCAGACGGGGGAGATGTGGATCTGGGCCCTAGATTCAAGCGGCTCCAGGCACTACTCCCCCTCCCCGCCCCAGGGCGGCCTGCGCCTCAGCCTCGCCAGGTGTGCCCCACCTGTGACCCTGTCACCTCCTCCAGGCCCCATGCTGCTGGAACACTCGCTGGGAGGGTAGGGGCGGGTTGTTGACAGGGCTGTGCGCAGGTGCAGTCGGGGCTCTGCTGCAGCCTCGTTAGACCCTCCATCTGCTACCAAAGGCTCCAGATCTCACTCCCCTCCAGACTCCGCTCCCACCCTTCCTGCACCAGGGATGCCCTTCCCACCCCTGCCTCTCGCTGTTGAAATTCTGTCTTGGGACCACCACCACCCCACAGCCTTTTCTAGCCTCTGGGCATCAGCTCCATTTGGCGTCTGGTCTTTGACCCCGAGACTGGGAGGGCCTATGTCCCCCTGGGCACTGGGTCGGGGGACACCTAGCCTTCCTTAACACCCAGAATGTGTCAGACACTCCGCCTGCTGGATCTTATTTTCCTCACTACAGCCAGCGATGGTACCCAGTGCTGGTGGCTGGATTTTGGATGCAGGATGGGAGGCTCTAGCAGCGAGCTGACAGGCCGGTCATCCAGGGAGGCCTGGGCAAAAGCCAAGACAGCTGCCCGGCCTAATTCTGCTCTCTTCACCAGGTTGCCAAGCTTGATGCTGGGTGCAGCTAATCCTGGCGGTGCAGAGACACCACCACGCACAGCCCAGCTTCCTCCTCGGCTTGAACCCAATTCCTCTGCTGTGGCTGGCCCAGCCCACCGCCTTCCTGCCCTCAGACCCAGGGCCCCCACCTGTTCTTTCCTTCCGGAACATACCTGGCCCTTGGGCATTAGCTCCTCCTAGAGTTTCTGCGTGACCCCTGCTGGGGAGACACAGGCTGAACCTTTCTGCCAAGTTGCTACCTACTTAGGATGAGGAGAAATGTGCCCCAGCCAGCGTCTGGGCTGCTCTGCTTAGGATGCCTCCCTGCTAAGAGGTCTACATCCTTCTCGCTGTTTCTCCAGGAGCCTCCGGATCAGAGGTCAGCGTGCGGCCAGGCTCAGGGCTCAACGTGGGACCAGGGTCAGGGCTCAGCCTGTGACCAGGGTCAGGGCTCAGCGTGGGACCAGGCTCAGGGCTCAGAGTGGGACCAGGCTCAGGGCTCAGCCTGTGACCAGCGTCAGGGCTCAGCCTGTGACCAGGGTCCGGGCTCAGCGTGGGACCAGGGCCAGGGCTCCGCGGCTCCGTCTGCCTGGCATGGCCTCCTACCCAGCCTGCCTGTGGGGTTGTCTCCTCAGAGCAGGCTCTGTGGATCCCCAGGTAGGCCAAGGGGTTTCCCTCCCTGGGTTTCCACTTACCTGTGTCCCTCCTGTGTCCGGCAGAGCAGACTGAGCGCCCTTAAACCCATGTTTCTAAGAAGCAAAGAACCTGCACGGACGGTGCGAAGGGCTCCTGCGGCTGCTGCTGCCTGTTTCTTCTCTCTGCAGCACCCAGTGGGACGCCCTCATGGATTATTCCCTGTCCCAGTGGGCACTCAGGCTGCCCAGTCTGTGCTCAGAACACTGCTGTGAGCGTCCTCCACTGCAGAGTCTTCACGGCCTTTAGCCACGGGCAATGGGACACACACACGGGGGCCAGATCAGTCCCTCGAGCACCGTGCCCTCCCTCACGAGCAGGGCGCCCCTGGTCCAGTGGTTAGGGCTTCTTACCCCACGTCCCTCCCGTCCCAGGTGTTTGCGTGACCTCTCGGGAACCTGCACTCAACAGCACTCCAGGGACATCTTACAGCTTGCCAGACGGCACCTCCAAGAGGCTGCGCGATTCCCGTGAGGGCACACAGCGGGCGGTGCCCCTGCCGCCTTGGCGTCATTGTCCTGCCATTTTTCTGCTCAAGGACTTAAACTGCTACATCCTTCATCTTGCTCCTCTCTGATTGCAAGTGTGGTTGAATGTCTTTTTATTTGAACGTGCTACTCACATCCTTGCCCCTTCCTTGTGGATTTGTAGTTTTCTTTATATAGGAAAGGAATCCACCTCTTTTTCGCATATAGCAAATGTTTCCCACCTTGTCTTCTTTTAGTTTTATGGCATTTTTCACGCATTTCTTTTTAGATTTTTATGTCCTCATGAATCTTTCTCCATCTGAATTTTGAGTCTTGTTTTTCCTAAAATGTTTTTTCTTTTTTTTCTTTTGAACAGCTTTATTGAGTATATTTCACATACCATGCAGTTCACCCATGTGAAATGTCTTTGGCATATATAGAGATATGTGCAACCATC